AAGGTAAACTCATATAAAATGTAGCCTTAAGACAGTCGAATCGAACACACTTTTATTATTTCTTACTCTAATCCTTTCAACCAACTTCAAAGTAACGAATTATTTTAATATCCCTAAGAATAAAAAATTAAATATATCCAGATTTACCTTAACAATTGGTGTTATGAATTCTTCAACAAAATTACGACGAATTAGTACTGGCCAATTATAATGAATAAAATTTATTACAAGGCCCTTAATATGCGAACCATCCTGATCCTGCATTTAAGCAAAATAAAAAGTTGAGAACGAGAAGAAAATAAATTTTTTAAACAAAACGAGTAAGCAAATCCAATTTAATTACTCAATAAAATATTATTGACGAAAAATAAGCCACCTGATCAGCCATAACCATTATTTTTCCATAACGAAGTGTTTTCATATCTTCATCTTTGTCATATTTCAAACGATACTGTAGTCCAATGATTTTAATTAGAGAATTTATTTCTGCATTTTCCATAATCTGAAATTACCTCAAAAACTAAATTGAAAGAAATCCTTGAAAAGTTCTTAAGCTTAATTAGTATCACCAAAAATCCACACCTATTAACATTTCGTTCATCTCCTAATCATACTACAAATTTGAGGTGATAACCTCACGCCATATTCGAATCAGTTATACGATAGGTTTCTGAATGATCAACATTTCCTTATATTCAATCTACGAGTGAAAGTTACCAATATACATATGAAAGTTATACATTAACCGTTCTGGCTCTGTAAGAAAAGAAAACGACTGATGCAGAACACACCAAAAAAGAATTACTACCTGTTTATGACTGCCTTCACGAACATTTAGCATTTTGCCGCGCAATGGAAAGACACCGTAACGGTCACGACCGACGACACCCAATCCAGAAACAGCGAGTGACTTAGCCGAATCTCCTTCAGTAAGTATTAGCGTACACAAAGAGGAATTTTTGGTTCCAGCGTCATTTGCATCTTCTAGTTTTGGTATGCCCTGAACAGATATGTATTATATAATCACGAAAAGAAAACTATTAAGCAAATAAATTCAGAGTAAATCTTCAAACACACTGAAGACAAAATAAACCTTTAGTTTGCTGGTTTTTTTACTTGAACATTTCTTATCCAGGGTTTCCTGCTGTTTAAAACGGACCCACGCCAAGACAGCTTCAACAATTCCGCATTTCATCACGGCATTGATGAATCTTTCAGATAGTTCACATTTACTGCCAAAACTCTTTGCTTGCAAGGTCATTGTCTCCTTTGTCTGTGAGTCAAACGTTGGATTCTCGACAAGCGAGTTCACAAAGATCCACATGTGACTCTTAATCTAAAACAAAATAACTAGAATTCAAGTTCAAAATCATGCATTTCTTCATAAAATAAGTAACTCGTTTATTAGGACTGCTATTCATTCGCATATCTGTAGCACAATATAACGACATGTAATGATCGACACGAATGGATAACGACAAAATTTAACAGATCTATCGGTAAAAAAAGAAATGCTAAGTATTAACTAATTATAAATATCAAAATCTTACTTGAAACGGCTTAACATTTACTCCGCTTTTTCCTACTTTCTTTTTGATTGTATCTATCAGCTTAGCTGTGATTTGATCAGCAACGTAGTCAACATGACGACCACCCTAAATTAAAACGACTGGATTTTCATTTTTCTATTAAAATAAGTAAGATAAGTAGTCCTATTCAGATATTTCTGTATTTTATTCCAGCCTGCTGATCTGTAGCTCCTGTTTTTTTTTTTTTTTTTTTTTATTAATTTCACATTTTATCATTAGAAAAAAACAAAACAAGAGATGTATGAAGAAAAAAACCAAAGACGTATGGCTCACCTTCGTGGTAGCAATCGAATTCACAAAAGAAACTTGCTGAAACCCTTTTTCCGATACTGTTAAAGCTACTTCCCATCTTTCATTAACCTGTTCATAAACAACTTTATATGGTTCTCCGTCATTATCAAGATTATGTTTTGCATACTGGTCTACATATTGCTTAAAGCCTTGCACCTGAAAAAAATCCGTAAGCACAGCTGCAATTATCAAAAAGAAACTTTAGCAGGATTAAAACAAAACAAAAATCCACAGACTTTATATTTGAAAAATCATTTTTACCGGTAGCAGTTTGCCGTTCAAATATACTTTGACACCTTTCGTCGAACCAGCAACATCATATGCTCGACGTGATATCAGCGAAATAATGTCATCATCGAGTTCGGTCATTCTGAATTTTGCAAGATCCGGTTTGAACGTTACCCGTGTAAAATCTTCACCACTTGATTTACTTACAAATGGGTCTTTGTCTTTCGTCATGTTATTCTTCCAAGTCTTAAAAAAATACAACAAAGCTAAGTTAAAATTAAAATCATTAATTATACAAGTGTCACAAAAATCGAAATATAATGTTCGAAAGACTTATTTGAATATGCTGACAGCCAAATTTATATTTGATTATTAACAGGTGTAGGCTCTTTTCCAGCTAATGTTCTTTACTGTAAACAAAATGCACTTGCAATATTGAAATATTGGTCTTCTAATCTGACAGTCATTCCAACTCTCAATATATAAAGGGTAAAAACCATTAAAAGGGACATCCTTTACTCTCACTAATCTCTGTTGTAAGCCAATGATTACTACGTAACAGTTAAAACCTTGTTTGCAATCAGTTTTTGAATGTGGCAAGCTTTCATTCGATTCGTTTCACCATTCACTCAGTTAATTTACTTTCAAAAAATGCTGCACCAATGGCAGTAACAATATATTTGGTGATTGTTGGTATAACTTAATATTTACTTTGTTCATTTCTTTACTATTATTCAATAAATTCGATATTGCACGATATCGCAAAGGAAAAAAGAAAAAAACGGCACTATCGACACTGTGGAATTATGACACAAAAACACATACTAAAAATCTCCTCTACAACAAGAAAAACCAAAACATTATGCACGCAGAAACTTACTTGCTTGAAAGCTTTGCCATATTCTTTGGAAGATGTTTCAACTGTAAATTCCCTGCTGAATATGTTGCATAGTTTGGCACCATATCCGTTTCGGCCGCCTGAAAACTTTTTCCACAATATTCTTCAAAATAAGAAATGAATCGAAGCTTATGCAAAAGGTTTTGACCATTGAAATGTTTTGGAAATATACAAAAAGTTATCGAAAAAAATTACACAATACTTATGCAGTATACTGCTTTTAGTAGCAAGAAATATCTTCCAAGAACTATATTAAATTAAATCACAATAATCGGATAAGGTTTGAGGGATCTGTGACTCAGTATCCATGAATAAGTACAAGACTAAATTATTCAATTAAAAGCAATATTTATTTGAAATATGGTATCCACATGAGACCGTACCTGTTACTTTCCGTTCGCTATCATCATAATTTGAAGAAGTAAGCAAAGTACCAAATATGAGCTCTGGGACATATAACTGCTCTACCTTGTGTAGAACCACAGGAATACCCTTACCATTATTAAACACACTGATCTCGTTCGTTTCTCTTTAAAAATTAAAGTTCAATCCAATCTCTTTTGTACAAAGTTTCTTTTGATTACAGAAAAGAAAACAAACTATATTCCTTATCTTGCAAAGACTTTTACTACATCTCAGATTTTCAAAATATTGTTATAGTAGGTCTGGTCGTTCGCAGAATGAGACTTCTCAAAAAGTTCATGTGTAATTACTTTGTATACGGTCGCATTACTACACTGATACACTGCATAAAGAACAGTTTTTGTCAGCTATTGCTGAAAAGCACTCAGGTATTTTGATGTGCAAATTATCAATAAGGCTAAGATTAGATGAGAATTACTAGAAATAAGTGGATTCACTAAAATCAAACTTATTAATATTAATTTTGATAAGATTCATCTTCGAATCGCGCTGTTTGTTGTCTGCTGCATTTACCAGAATCTCGTCAAATATTTTGTACAAACCAGGGACATATGAAATGTCACGTTGGATAATTCGTTCTGTTTCCGCATCATACACCCATAATGGCTAAATTTAAACAAATGTGGAAGGAAAGAAGAAAAACATTAAAAATAATCTGATGTTTGTAAGATTAAAATTTAAATTGCATGAGTTCTCCGTCTTAAGCAGTAAGGATCATATAGTGACTGTTCTATTCACCAGGAAACTATAAGAATTGTTATCCAATGAAGAGAACTAATACTATTGACGGTGCGGGAATAGAGGTTTAGCATAAAAATAATAAATGTGCATTTTATCGAATAATCAGAGAAAATAGATCTTTTCTATTCCCTTTTGTTTCATTAACAAGACGTACCGCTTTATCAGTACGCTCAACGGAACCAATATATGTATCTGGACGTAGCAAAATATGTTCCAGCTGACTCTTTTTCTGGTAGATTTTTTCAATGCTTAGCCCTTTGCGCTGCTGATCAATATTCGTAAAAATATCCAATGGATCGCCATCATCACTCTTATCACCATTTATGACTAGAACAAAGAGGTTGCACAAATTAAGGGACATAAAGAAGAAATCACAGAAAAAAACACTAAAAAAAACCTGAATTGCCATTTGTTTCCTTTTTCGATACTTGCTTCTTCTTAACTGGTAGCTTATCCTTTTTATCGGTTTGCTTTTTAGCTGTTTTTTTCTTTTGAACAGATGAATCAAACTGAAAATGAACATACTCGGCTATGCATGAATTCATAGTTCATCTTAAAAAAGGGGTTTTTTTTTCTAATTCTAATCACTAAATTTTATGCAACTGCTTTCTGATCGTTTACACAATTAAACAATCTAAGAGAATTTCAGACAACCGAAAAGGGCCTTAAACTAGGATTCAGTAAAGATTTGTAATGCTCAATTAGAATATGACGAATACCAAAAAACAAAACAACATACTGAAGGGTCGTAGTCAGACTCCTCGTCGCTACTCATTATCAGTTACTGTAGTAAAGTGTTAAATTCAATTAACAGAGCAAAAATTTAGCTCTTAAAGAGTCGTCCTGAAACAGGACCAATTACGAATTCATCAGCTGATTCCAGCAACATTCATAATCACACTAAGAATTCACAGGTGTATAACAGTGACCAATTAGCAATTTAACAAGAGCTAATAACTTTAAAATTGAACACAAAGGACGACTTGCAACAAAGTATTACTTGACAAAATTTTCTGACATTATATTTCCATTACGTAGTCAGGAAAACTACGCTTTTTAACCGTGACATTGACTAAGAAAGGACAAAGAAGCATATAATAAGTGAAATAATAAGAAAAGTTAAAAAAGATATATCACAAGCTAATAATGAAATGAGATAGCTAAAGAACTGCAGTAAAGAAAACATAATTAACATTTTATGACTGATAATTGTGTGGTCTTTTTCTAATATTTGCACAATAATTTAGACATTTTAAGGGAAAACCTAACATATTACTTGGCAAGAGAGAAAGAATGATTCATCGAAGATCTGTGAATTTGACATTTTTGCATCTGCCACTTTCTTTCATATAGATTCGTGAAGATCATATTCCGTTGAGACATACTGTAACATGAACTGTCCCAAGTGTCACCCAAATCAACTCCCCTACCTCCCACCCCAAACTCAACCCCAGCTAATACAAGCATAGTGACTGCATAGACCAAGTGTCGATAGTCAATTCGCTGTTTATGTTATTTTGATTTGCTTAAAATGCAAAATTATTTTCTCGCCTCTCATCATGGTTGTTTTTGGATTTTCTCGCTTTGTGATTTTACTTTGTTTTGAAGGTAATGAAAGCTTTCATCTTAAAGACTTTTGTCTTTTTTTTGTTTGAAGTCTATCATTTTAAGTATATAGTTTCAAAATTCACCACATGAGACATTGTTAGGCATAGAAGTTGTCCGAAAGGCATTTCAATGCGGTAAAGGACAAGCAAAGTGATAATAATAATTTCTTTCAAACACTTCATTCAATTCAGATGTTAAAATAACTGAATGAAATTTAAACAGTGGAACAGAATGAATTACACAAATGAAGTATTACTTCTGGTTAGGTAGACAAATTCATTCCTACCGCCATGGTTTGTGCTCACATTAGAAATCATTATCACATCGGTAAACGACATTTTTAATCCTTTTTCTGGAACATTTAATCTGTTGGTTAATGAAAAGAAAAAGCAAACGACCGACAAAAGTTCAGTGAAATAATAGAAGTACAAAAAGATTTTCTAATAGAAATTTCAAATGCATATTGAATGTTAATGCTATAACGGAACTAATTCATTCATTTATTATAGGCTGTCATGGACGAATAACTACCTACAGCAGTGTTAATCATTCAAAATTTAACTAACTCAATCTGATGATAAGCAATTCATTATAAAAATGCAAACTAAAACAGTTAAAGGACAAAGGCTTAAAATAAGAGAAATAGGAGATTTTGAATGACATAGAAATTTTTTAAATTGTTAGTAATTCGGACAGTCTTGATTAATTTATACATTTAATTAAATGTTCATTTTATGCTCGCAAGTGTTCAATTGATATATATGACATTTCCCCTGTCATTCCTCACCTATTCGGGAAATCATCAGAGTTTCTGCATGGCCTTTGTAAAAGTTTAAAAAAAGGTACTGGAATTATAAAGCGAAAGATGCAATACAAAATGCAAAACTATCACGAAATTAAGAGTTTATTGTCTTGACAAGGAAATAATGTCAAAAGAAAGAGATTCATCACATATGCCTTAAAAGAAGTAGTATTTAATTATTAAAACTTATTTGGTGTTTATCTAAATTATCGATTGATAATAAGGAACAGTGTGAAAGTAATTCATTGGTGAATTCATATCAGTTTATAAAGTTTGTGATCAGCAAACACTGATCTTTGAGGCAAATGGTTGGCTGTTGCATGAGATATGGAGGTAAGCTGAACCCATTTGTTTAACAGTAATATATATAATTTAGAAAAAAAAGTAATACTTATTCGTAAACATTAAAAATTAAAAAAGTTTGTTTCATTACCATTCATTTCATTTTGAAATGCTTCATCAAATTTGGAAAAATTAAAAAATTTATTGTATTGCATCGTATGACCTATTTTATTTTTTTGATATAGGAAAATAAGAGACGGAAATTTTATTGCTGTGATAACCAGAAATCGCCATTTCTTCAACGAAAATATTTTATCTGTGAGCAGTAAATTTGCATTGCACGTGACTGGTATCATTAGTTTGAAGCACTAGAGCAAATCTCTCCAAACTGAATTTGCTGAGGACATTAACTTCGGGTATCTCAAATTTTTTACAATGAATTTTAAAATGACCTTATTGAAACCTGATACATTCAGCAGATCAAATAAAAACTCACTCCATGCTTTCATTCTATGCAATCAATGCATAAAGATACTTTTAAATAAAACAAAAAAGAGTTAGAATGAAGCTTTTCTTCAAACAGAATTCCCAACTCAGTGATATAAATTGAATTTGCATTTGGTATCATCCTTAAAAGAAATAAAAGTTTACTAAAGAGCTAATTTGGTATTTCAGTCTGCACTTTCGCAAAATACCATAATATTTTCAGTACACATATAAATATGTTTAAGTCAGTTAAGCCTAGAGTATGCTACAAGTTTATAATATATATATCAATACTAGTTTCCAATTCTTCAGCATAGTTTGTAACAAAGTTCAATTTGATCGTCTTATAATCACTTAATTATAGCTTTAACAAAGCCATTTAATTCTTTCCTATTTTATTTCTGAAAAGCCTCTTGCAAATGATAGGTTTGTAGTGTTCATTTAAACATTTCATATCAAAATTGCTGTGAAATTGGTTGCGCATCTTTTATTTGTTACTTCAAAATTTACTTGAATAGTTATGAATTATTTTTCGTATACATTTTAAGTAACATTGCATGAAGGTTAAAGAGAAAGAGAAAGAACACTGAATGACAGAGATTCTCTGAAATAAGAGTCTCCAAGTCTCGTTAATTGACAACAGCTACCTATGGAGCAATAAATGGATTTAAAAAGAATACGTACCCTTGTTAATTCCTCTTTTCTTTCCAATGTTAAGAATGTAACTAAACAATACACTCTTTATATTTGCCATTCTTTTAACCCATCCTTCATTTGCCCATTAGTTCAGGACTTGGCCTAGCACAACTCTTCCTCATTCGCTATTATTTCATAAGGTTGATTGTCAGGATAAAATGTTCTGGTGCTTGGCCTTAACTATAATAATATGTGTCAGCAGCCATAAGATGTATTCATAGACTTATTTGGTATACGTAACCTTAACGCGAAAGCTTCAAATGTTTTTAAAATTCAGATATCTAAATGGAGTTATGCCTTGATTAACCCATTTACTTTTTAGCTTTATAATATGCATACCGGATATCCATTAGAACGGTGTTTGCATGAAGAAGTTTGAAAAGCCTTTTCACTTCAACTTCCAAATCCAATCATTCTACATCATTCTCTTCCTACCTCTTTCCTTATTTTGTGTTATCCTTCATTATCAGTATTCTCCCTTCTACAACATCTTTCCAAATATTTCAGTTAGCTTTTGTGAAATACTTTCCATAAATATATATTTAGAGGAGAAATAATGAAGTTAATCTCTTTCACTTAAGTAAACGAATCCAAATAGCTCGGATTATTTCCAATGTGTTTTTGATGGTAGTTTTTCAGTTCCCAGCATTAATTTTTTATGAAATCAGATTCTATAAGAGATCTTTCATATAACAAAATTAAGAATAAGTAAAGTATCGTCTCATTTGATGAAAACTTTGATAATGTACTATGTATGTTATTTACACAACGACAAGAAAAGAAGACTTTTCTACTGAATCATTCTAGATAAACAGCTGAAGAAAGGTTTTGTCAACTTTCAACTTCCATAACTTGTCACATAGTTGATAAAAATAATTATAAGAAAATAAAAATAACTATAAGAAAGTTGCATTAAATATCGAACATCCATCTTAGAAAAATTAAAAAAAAAAATAAAGAAAACTTCAATTTCATTTACGATTTTGAGACTTGTTTGTTTTTTTTTTTTGTTTTATTAATAATTTTTTTATGGTTTTGAATGCGAATCTTTATATATATATATATAGTGTCTCCTTTTTTTACTTTTTTTTAATTTGTTCTAAGGATAGGAGGAGTTTGATTGTTTTTAGTGGTAATGTTGTTTTGGTTTTAATTTTTTGGGTGTTAGTAGCTTTTTTTTGGTTTTGTTTTGTAATAATATTGTTGCGTAGAGGTGCAATATTTACTAATCACATTGGTTTTTTTTTTTTTTTTGTATTTTTTTATTTTTTAATGGTTTTATTTTGTTTTTATTAATTGTTTTTCCTATTAGTTTTTTAGTTCTGTGTTGGTTCAATGATAGACTGTAAAAGTAAAATTCACAGATTTTCGCTCTCTGAAAAAAAATTACTTTAAAAAAAAATGACTTACAATATCATTATTCCTTCTCACTTGTATTTATGTGTTTCTTTAAGTTTTTGAATCCTTTGTTTCATTGATCTATTTCTTATCAAATCAATTTGAAATATTTTATAGTTAATTTATTCACAATGTGATTTTTTTTTAAATTTTTGGGTGTGAAAATCTATAAAATAATATTTTAGACAAATACCAAAACCATATGTAAATTATTTCAAATCAAGTTGATAATTTTTTTTTGTCAATAGTAGAAAATGTTTAGAAATTACATAAATAGAAAATTGCTCGAATTAAAGAAGTGTGCAGTAATCCCTGCGGAATGGTTTGAAATTTGAAATTAATTGCTTGTACTTGTGGGAAAAAGGAGAGAGAGATAATTTAACATAGATTTAACAAAAGGCTACTTTATGGAAATTTAATGAAATGAGATAAATTGTGTTAAGATTATAGCATCACTTCCGATCAATGTTAATGAATTCACTTGCAATCTTGCAATAAAATATGTTGACATTTCTCATACATCATCGATATTCATTCATATCTTTTGCATGGCATCATTATATCGGTAACGAATGGGCAATTTGCCTTTTCAAGTAAATTTATATGAGCATCAAATGAACAAATGAGAATTATTATGATGACTGATGAGACTGAAATGGGATGTTAAGGCCTGTTTCAAGCTTACCAAAGAGCAGTCATTTATAATTCTGCTAATGACAAAGTCTTACTGCTCTTAATTCAGTTCCTTTATCCACTGTTTAATGTTACTTTTTATCTAAACAAGAAGAAAAAAAAAAGAACAAATAGACAAAACGAAGAGATCATCTCTATCAAGAACAATACACAATGTTAATTCTCCGGCTATGCCATCAGACAAAGTTTCATTGCTAACTGATAACAACCTTAATACTTTATCATAAATTATCATTTTTTATAATCAACCTTACATTTTTCTCTAATTATCATATTTTTCACTTATACATCTGTTTATTTGTTTCATTTCATTCCAAGTAATCATTTTACTTCTTGAAAATATTTTTTTTTTTTATTGAAATATTTATATGAAGCATTTGTGTAAAGTTTATTCCCTATCACAAACAACTTACATTTTCCAGTGCAATAAGTTTTTCCAGCAATATTTAGAAGACGTATGGAGAATGGTGTCACCTACTTATTATGCTTTGTCCACTTTAACGACCACTCATCTTTTATTTCTTCAAGTAACAGCAGAACATAAAGGTTGTCACTTCTATTTTGAAATTATCAAATCAGAATTCTACGGGTCATAAGGATGACCAGGAAATAAACAAAGCATCTCTATTTCTAACATCTATTCCATGAAATTGCCTAGAAAAAATTGAAAGTTTAAAGTCCCTGGACTGTCAGCCATGATAGCTCAGTCGGGAGAGCGTTAGACTGAAGATCTAAAGGTCGCCGGTTCGATCCCGGCTCGTGGCAGGCCACGTTTTGCCAACCTTTATGGAATAGGTATTGTCGTCAGCGCGACACAAATAAGGCAATGGATTAGGTGTATGGAGGCTGAGTGGTCTAGTGGTATGGTTTTCGCTTCGGGTGCGAGAGATCCCGATTTCGATCACCGGCTCAGCCCATCCCTTTGCTAGCCTTTAAGGTTTCTCTCATGTAAACTTCTATTTGTTTATTAACTAAATGAATTTTGTTTAGGAAGTAATCCTTGTTGAAATGATAGATATTCTTAGGATGGCTTATTCCATAGTCACTGACTTCCCGTCTCTCTCTCTCCCTCTCTCCAACCAATTATCTGTCTCATTTCTCAATTTATATCATTTTATGACAATAAGCAGTAGTACTTCCAGAGAGTTTGTCCAACTCAAAGCGGAAATGTTTCCAATGCAATATGCCATATGAATGCAATTTGGGCTTATGTTACGGTGATTACTGCATTAAATCACTTGGTACGTTGTCAGAATTTATTTTGAAATTATTGGGGAATATTTAGAATTTGAAATGTTTCACAATATCTATTAGTGATCTGTGTTATTTATAATTAATTAATTGATCTTTTTCAGCAAGCGATCAATATGTTAGCAAAGGATGCGAAAATAAAACATTTAGGTAAGATTAATCACTTACAGTTTGCGCATTCGATGCGTTAATGTCTTGACATTATATCCGGAAATGCTCATGGTTCTAAAATTTCAGTGAGAATAGACTTTTTTTCTGAATTTTTTTGAATTCGCTGTTCAGCTATTTCTAAAATTTCAGATTGGTAAACGGTGAGTCATACACACAGGAAAATTCGGAATCCATAGAGAAGCCATACTGTACAACGGAATACATGTTCGGAATTCAAAACATTATTTGCTACTGTAATGATGTTGATTTTTGCAATAGGAGCCAGAAAATCGAGGCCAGACTTATTATGATATCACTGTTTCTCTTTCTGATGATATTTAACTTTATTTTTTGAGTTGTTGCCTTCTTTTTTTCTAGGATAGGAGAAATTGTCAACTAATTTAAGAGATTTTTCTTTAATTTTCGGGATTCTTTTTCAAGAAATGAAATCTGCAACTGCTGGAATTAAAATTGAAAGTATGCACACTTTAAATTTAATTAACTTTTATTCAATTTACCAAAATTTGCAGACTCACATATATTTGTACCATCATTTGAAAGATATTCCAATTTAAATCCTATTTACAAACAATATTATTGAAACTTTATTTTCAAAATTTTCTGTGAAGTGTTGTCATCAAAATTGAGACTTATAAAATGAAAGATACCGTTAACATGTCTGCAACAGATATGAATGATATCAAACTGTTAATTTATTATAATTTATTTGAAATGAAAATTACTATAATTCTGTACTGTGTGGCTGTTTATCCTACATTAATGAGAGATTTCAAAAGAGTAATCAATTCATGCACTGATCAATTACTGTTCTTATCTTATCATTAGATTGCTGTTATTCTCACAGAAACTTCATTTCTTAATTTTTATTAACATTACTAAGGAAGGAAACATTATTACACTAATAACATATAAAGTGATGCATAAAATTCGATAACTTATGAGCATTTCAGGTACACAAACAAAAATAAATAATGGAATGTGTGCTGTGATGAGTAATGTAATACAATTAGAAGAGTAAAAAATGATTGCAAGACGACCTGTGGACAAATCATGGTTTATGAAATTTCAGATAATTAATACTACCCTCATTAATTCTTAAACAAGCGATGCCACATGCAGATTGGCAAGCCAGTCTTCCGGATCATTTGTAACCAATGAGCACATCCGGCTCCTGGGCACATCGGTCCAATCACACAATGTCCAATTGGAATCGGTCCACGATTACAATCAGCCGGATCAGTATCGAACATCTGTAAAGGAATGCATCATGATACAATTAATATAATTTCAACGATCTGAAGGTTTGTAATATGAATTTTAAGCAAATAACATACAATCTGTCCTATCAGTGATTCTATAATGATATCCTATCAGTGACTATCAGCAATTGAATGTAAGCAATTGAATTTTGACTTCTAATTCGTTTCGAAGTCAAAAGTTGAAGTAATGATAATTTTTTAGTCAGCAATTGTTGAAATCGTATATTCGTCCTTTTTCTTTAAAAAACAACGCACTTCGATGACGATATGACACCTATCAAGCATTTGTGGAGTGACGTGAAACAAGAAGGATTCGGAAAAAATGGCATCTGTCCGTCGTATTATGAGCGTCGTCGCATTAGAACAATCAGCTGATAAGGATGACAACGGGGGACTCGATGCAGGTGGTTTTTGTCGTGCACTAAATTAGAAATTTGATCAATGCATAAATTAATGATAATTTTATCAGTCAGCAACTGTTGAAATTATACTTTAGAATTTTGCACGAAAACAAAAACTATTAAAATTATATCACTAATAGATTAGCAAATCATAACATAAGGTATTATTGATCTATTAGCATGAAAAATTATCAAGTTATCAAGCTATCGTAAGTATATGTCAGATCAGATAATTTGCAAAATGTAAGATTCTCAATTATTTCAAATTGATATTCTAACAATTAAAGTTCATATGTACATCTGAGTTGCATTTGTGCAACGTTTTGCAACGCACTAATAAAATTGAAATGATCAATGTTTCCTACCAATCAGTGGTGAGACATCTACTACAAACAGGTGTTGGTGTCACTGTTGTTTGTTTTTGCTCCAACAAACGACGTTTGTCGAACAACATTACTCGGGCAAACGGTTCTGAAGCAAATTCACCTATCAGCATTTAAGAAGCTAATCTCAAATTTGAAATTTAAGAAATATCAATGTGACTTACTATTATTGAAAGGTAATAGTTTAGCCTTTTTGACAGTAGCTGTCACGAATTGGACATTTGGCGCATATGTTAGGATGGTTAGCACTTCTGTTTCATATTTTGTACCCTAAAAAAATTGTTTTTTTTTTTTTGCCGATCTGTAATTAGGGAAATGGAAGAAGCGTTTCTAAAGAGTTCAATCAACAGAAACGGTTAATAGAAAGAGACAAAGAGGGAAGTCAGCTAGAGTGAAACATAGTAAATTTTATTTAATCTTTCCATCTTCTTTGCAATTTCTTTCTCATAAATTTGAAATAAAAGAAAAAAAGCTTTAATTAACTTAAAGAATAAACAGGTTGGAAAGATACAGGGGTAGTATCAGCACAAGAGAGCGACAAATCGATTTCATCCGCTTTGTTACTTCTTGCTAACACTTCTGGTAAAGTTTCCGGTTCTGTTTGAAAAATTCGTTCCTCAAATTCGCAATCAAACAAATTCCGTGGTGTATTTTCTTCATTTGACAAGAATTTGGTTAAAGCATCCTTATGTGGCGCCAGTTTTTCACCCTTTAACTCTGCAACGCATTAGAATTGTAAAGAAAAACTTGAATTTTTGGAATTGCAAAATTGTGGTAACAGCGTTGAATTATAATGACAACAGCATCAACCAACTTTGATATCAATGAAAAAGAATATTTCAATTGAACAACATGTATAAATCATTAAAAGTGAGAAAAATTTTGCGGTTAATTAGATGATGACACACAACCTCCGTGCTTATCACCCCATTCTCGAAATTCATGTCTGGCTGCCCGTCCATATCGATGTGTCCCGAGCTTCAGTTCAGTGTTAGCACGGTTAGCACGAGCTGCAGGTGCAGCCTGGTTCTTCCCTGCTTTGATCATTGATTTCGGAGCCCACGATGCTGACTGATCAGCGCCAGCCTGCGAAGGTGGCTGAAATTCATTCCAGGTGAAACACTTGCAGCACAATTTACTTGCATTTGCACCTCAAATACTGAAGATAAAACGGATGAACGAACCAATTTGTGTAATTGTACAGCGTAGTGTGGCCGATTGTTCAATGACTGATACTCGAAGAAATGTTTCGCTAAGAAATTCATTCCCTGAAAATTGGCCAAAGCAGTTAGTCATTCAACTGGGCTCGTCACTTTCCTCATTACATTTCTTTACTTGTGAACACTTTTGTGACAATAAAGTATCACTTGCTACTATTCTCATCGTCTGTTATTAATCTTAATTATTGTTTATTTATTTATTATTATTATTATTATTATTAAATATTATTATTATTTCTACCTTTGTAATGTTCATTGCATAAATCTGTTGGGATAAAATTGGTCAAAGGAAAATCTTTTAATGATTGAAATTAAATTTTAATCATAAGAGGACAACTGTTTCTACAGAGAGCTAATATCATATTTCCGGTTACTACTGCAAAAATGCTCCATTTTCTTCAGAAACGGAACTAAAAAGGAAATACAATGTGATTTCATGTAATGAAAAATGATTGGGTTTAGGTAATGATTCAATCATGCAGATAGCATAAGATATGATAAATATTCAGCAAGTTTACTTTCGAAACAACCCTGTAAGGCGCATGAAATAAGCTAAATAGATGTCATAGGTCAAAAGCCCATCAATGGCATCAAAAATGAAGAAGTTAATAATGATCAGATCAAGATCTCATTTTAATTTTTCGGTATTTTGGCTCGAATTTTTTTTATGAATAAAATACAATGTGATTTCATGTAATGAAAAATGATTGGGTTTAGGTAATGATTTAATTAGTAGTGAAGGGAATTTTTTATTAAAATCTTTAGTATGAATGCTATAAGTTTTGATCTGCTCAATTTAACATTTGAAGCAATCGTTTCAGCAAGTAAGAATTCATCCTACATTCTAAATCAAAACTTAAGCAATTTGTTCTATCGAATTTCCAATGCTATCGTAGCGACGAATTTATTAACACATCCGAATAATCGTTTATTATGAGCTTATTCGATCCATCTTATCAAGTTATGAAAAGATCTCTCATGTAGTTTGCAGTTTGCAGAGTTTGCGGTATAAATGCTATTAGTGCCTTAAAATAACGATCCACAATGTGCCATAAAATCGATAGAATCAATAATATAGCTCAAATGTAAAGGTTTGTTGAATTCCAAGGAAATCCAAAAAAAAAAGAAAAGAAGAGGAAAGACGGATGAAGAAACATAAAAGTCATTTATTGGATGATAAGCTAAATTACGAAGAAAATTTAGATGTTAACTGATCCGTAATTAATTAATTAATTAACTATTTTTGCCCGCTTGAGAGTTTGCTGACCTTTCATTAAAGAAAATACAGCATTGCAAGCGTCATTTTTTTTTTTTTTTTGAGTATTAAATTTGAACTTATTTTCTAAGCCCATATTTCATGAGTTAGAAGTATTAGATGCACTGCAGCCAAACTCAATAAGATGAATGTATGTCATGTTTAGTGTCCTAGTGATGTACATATACCCCAGCAATGTCTCGATGACATCCATCTGATGAAGGATTTATTCCCACCAAATGTTGTAAAGGAAGGACAAATGCAAACAGTTTTAGATAGAAACAAAAATAAGCTTCAATCTCAGCTGGCATGATATTCATGCTTTAAGTGATACTTTTAGCTAATTTAAAGAGGTATTAAACGACACTTCTAAATGAAAGTATCACTCACGGGTAGTACCGTTCCCACCACGTCTTACTTAAGTTAATCCTTAAAAGTGTATAAATTGAACTAACAAGAATGTCTAACAAAAATTCTTCTAGTGGAGATAATATGCTGGGGAACAATATGCTCACCTTAGTTCGTAATAATTGTGAAGTAAAATTGACACTGTCATACTTCAGAAAAAAAAAAAAAGACGGACAGCAAATGATTTCTTAAAAAAAATAAAACAGTAAAAGTTTACTCCTATTTTTCACATTCAATTTTTAATGCAAAATTTAATCACTTGAATAAAATTTGATTTACTCTAATCATGAAAGATTCCAGATAATTTTAATTTGTCATGGTGGTCGAAAATAAAAAAAAAAATACGTTGCACTTATTCAAACAACTTTCTAGTTGCCTCCATAATTAAATTGTACGGAATAGGAATATTTTCCGATTTAATATTATTTCATAGCAAAGAAAACGGCTTCCAAAATTCCGATATTCAAACAAGTATTAAAGAAGATTTTCAAAAAGTGCTAAAAGAGAGAGCAACATAAAGTAAAGTTAGGAATTTCAAAATTTATATACTATTAAAATTAAACTTTCACAAGTAAAATTCATAGAATGTAACGATCCAATATAAGAATTTAATGAGTTTTACCTATTTAAATTCAAGTAATCTGCAAAAATTTGTTAAATAATAAAATATTAAATCTGATATTTTATTTAACGGTCTGAAATTTATCAAAAATGAAATGAAACAAAAAGTTACTAAAGATTAGATAAGAAAACTAAACAATTCTATTCGTTCAATTCATTATTTTCGTGTATTAGCTAAAAAATGATTATGAATTGAATATTCTTATATCTTCCATAGCAGTTTGCCTTGCAGTTTTTTTTTCCTATTTCTGTCTCTTCGCTAATCAGCAAGCAATGTCTTTTCCTAATGATATTAATGATATTGACTTCAGTGGAATTATTTTCAAATTTTTTTTAAAAATTAGTTTGATTTTTTTTCTTTTTTCTGTTTACAATTAAGTCTTTTCTGAAAATATTGAAGCATTAACAAATTCACAATAATGGCAATAATTAGACTTTATCCAACAAAGAAATAGATATGAAAATGGAACAAGCAATTTGAATGTGAACTGAAAAAGATTTGATTTTCTAATTTTCAATATTCCAAAGTGTGACTTATTTCAAATAGTCTGTGATGATCGTTTAAAAAAATGAATATCATTAAGTTAAAGAAATGCTCTAAATATTAGGCACTTCTCATAATTGTTTGCTTCTTTTTTGATAATTTCATAACAAATATGACTCTTGAACTGAATAGCAAATTTAAAGAAAGAATCGTTCAAAAAATTAATAAAAGATAAAATAAAATGTAGACTTGATCACCTGATACGTGAAAAAAGTTGCATCATGAGTACTGCTATCAAGCGTAAGGCCATTAAGATAAGAGCTAAGCTGATCGCTAATATGAACTAAACTCAAATCGGTTTGCGTTACAATTCCAACTTTGCTATTTCGTTGTCGTTCCACAGATGACGATGCACTGAAAGATAATTGAAAAATGAATGGTGAAGATAAATGTTCGAATTTAACCCTAAAAGCATTATCTAAAAAGTTGTAGCATTATTTCTTTTTTCTAGTTGTATTTTTTGAATTTAGATCAGATTATTGATTTGTTAATCTAGCCCCTTTTCTTTTCTTTTTTTTTTCTCTTTTTTGCAATTTTTAATTTTAAATAAGAAAATAATTTCTTTCTAGTATGCTCATTTTTTCTTTTTTCAAAATTTCTACTTTTCTTTTGGACGAAAAAAGTATATTATATTGTTCTAAACTTGTATAAAGTTTAAAGTCTTTTTGACGCAAAAGATTTAGATGAAACTTTTGTTTTATAGCCAAATATTTATATTTTAAAATAAAATGAAATCATGCACACTGATAAACATTACTAAATTTGCATTAGGAAGAGTGTAAAGAGCAATAGAATCGGCTGTTGCATTAAAAATAACACTAATGATTCAAAGCAATGCGAAGAAGTATCATTCGTGATCTATTGAAGGAATTTAAAAAGCTCGCCGATGTCAATTAAAATATTCCTATAAATTCGAAGTAATGCAACATATTTCACATGTTTGTGAGCAAATTTGATGCAAAATATTAGCCATGGAACTGCCCATATTTCGAAGATTTGTTATTTGAGCTTTAAATAATTACAAAGAAATTTGCTTATCAGAAATACTCTAATCATATAATTAATTAATTATTTGTGGTAAACCTTTGTCTGACTAGAAAAAGTACATCGTAGTAGCGATTTATACAATCAATACTGTTAAAATATCTCTAAAATTTATTAAAAAAGAATGCATGAAACACTAAAAAATAATCAGATAGATAAAATTTTGTATTCATTTCAAAAAGTTATATTTCAAAAGAACTAAATAACTTTCATTATGATCGCTATTAAAATTACTCAGTTAATGACGTTAAAACTGAAATTACTACTGCTACTTCACTATCTGTAGAAAAGTTTTTCGATCTGTTATGTGTTATATGGATTCATATTGAAATTTTGTTTTATCAAAAAAAAAACTTTTAAATTTATCAAAACCTGTCAATTGACTTCGATTTTTTTTTTTTAATTGAAGATTTGAATATAATAAGATCTGAACACACCTGCTTGCAAAGTGTAATTTTATTTTAATGAAACTTTCACTTTTCTTGAAATATTGATATATGATACTAATATCATCTCTCTTTGAAACTTATCCAAGTTGGTGTTGTGACGTATTAATTTCAGACATGGCAATCTTCAAAAATTTAATACTCCTTGCATTTAATGTAGGAAATAATTGAAGGAATCGTGAAAGCCTATAATGACCAAAGGCCATATTTCATAGCTTTATTTGTTTACAAAACTATTATTATAGCATTTTGTTAATGTTTTAGCAATTTTTCTATTTTTGAAATTATAATAATAGTTATTATTTTGCCAAAAATAATAGTTAAAAAATATGGTTAGCTTGAAACTTCTATCTTCCTTAACTATCTTTCTTTTCTTGAGCTCATTCTTTATTTCAAATGACATTTGGAAAAGTTGTTTAATAAAATTCGTATCAATAAGTTGGAAGTAACAAGTAGTAAGCTTTTGATGTCAAACGGAAAAGAGAGAAAGAGAAAAGTTCTTTTTGACGGATTTCTTTCAGTCAATTTAAATTGGATCTAAACGATGTTTCTTATGTTTCTCACTGCTTCATGAATAAAAATTTGAATTAAAGTGACATTACTTGCTAATTTCATGTTTAAATTCCTACCTAACAGTGCTGATGCAAACTTTTTATTTTATATTAAAAATAACCTCAAGCAAAAAAAAGTTTTATTATTATTATTCTCACACATTAATTATTTATAGCATTGGTGAGTATTACTGAAATGCTTTTCCTGCAATTTCTTGTCATTCAGGAAATGGCAGATAAAATAATGGCTGTTTGTGGTTTTTATCTAAGAATCTTTGAGAGATGCCTCTTATAAAACTAATAACAACAGTGATGAAGGAGAAAATCCCGCCTTACGTCTTCAATAAACCGATTAGTAGTCTCATTGAAAGAGACCGGAAAGGATGCGACCAGCAAGCTAAACTTTCCTCTCACGTGATGAATAATAATATAGGAAGTGATTAAGTTTGAAGGAGAGAGCAAAGTTAGAAAGATTGACGAAGTGAAATAGACTAGCGATAAACTGCAGAAAAAAACAAATTAAGTTTGACAGAGCATGATTTAACTGCATCTACTGCTAACAGAGTTAAAAAGGAGAAAGAAAAGTGAAGATGAAAAAGAAAGAATGAAAGTTTCAATGCCAAATAGAAAGAATAAGTACTGAAATAATTCCCAAAGCTTTTTCATAATTGAATAAATACAGAAATTTTCAAAGTTATTCGTATCAAAATGATCACTCATATCCTTGTTTATCTTAGCAAAATTTATTCAATAAAACAATTATTCGTCAGAGGAACAGACTAAACTTTATTTATTTATCCATCTATGGTCTCAGCAACTAAAGTCATATCTTGTCGAGAATAAACGAATGAATGCCACATGGATATACCAATGGGAATAAATTAATTTTTGCTGTATTTTGGTGCCACTATGTAAGTCAATGTTTTAATATTAAGCGAATTGTTTCTCTAAACTGATATCATTAAAAAATAGGAAATTAAATGTTGAAATTTGAGTAATGCTGTAAAACAAATATTCCCTTTACAATTTAAAAACATTGAGAAGTAAATTTCGGAATCTAAAAAGAATGCAGAAGTGCTAACGCTAGTAAGAGTAGAGTATTTTATAGTTTTGAAGTCTACAATTACATATTCAATCTTTTAAGAAAACATAAAATGTAATTTAATTTATTTAAAATGTTTTCCTGTGGCACAACTGTGTTGCTGCTTCAATTTCTCTACCAACAATTTAAAGCATGATTTGTTAAAAAAATAAAAATAAAAAATGACAATGAAATTAGAGAAGATTAAGAAAATATGATAAATATCTCGTGTAATTATATGAGATGTGACAAGGCAAAGGGCAATGGAGTGAAGTAGCAATCCTTTCAATTTTCTGAGTAACATTAATTTGAATATTTCTTGAAATAGCATTGGAAGTTTGTGGGTCTGCTCAAGACGACCATCAAAATAATCCATTACTCAGAGAATAAAAAAAAAATACAGTAATTTAATTTGAGCGAATTCTCATTAACGTTTGGTCTATTTCTCCTTTTTATCTTTACAAGCTATATAATTAAATTTTAATTGAATTTGCTACGTATCACTCACTCTTCTCATTCTGTTGAAATAGGATGTGTTAAAAAGTTCAAATATATAAAATGTATTTGTTATCTTAACCTATTCCAGGTTGCATAAAGAATACTATTCACTCAACAAAGTACTATGAAATTATCGTTTTGATAAATGAAACAGTAATTCTTTCTGGATCAATAATATTCAAACACTAATTCTTTAAATCAATAATATTTAAGAAATCTCGAAAATATCAGAAATTTATGATTAAAATAGAACAAGGTAAGTAAGTAATGTTTACAGTGAATTTTTCTGAAATAGTCTTTAAAAAAAAATTCGTATTCGTATCAAGTTGAAAAACATACTTAATGTAAGGATAAAATGCGATAAAGCGAATTTCCGTTTTTAGATGTTCGTTTCCACTTTCATTTCCCTTTTCTATCTTCAATTAGGATATAAGCTTTTCTGATATCTTAGACGTTTCTGAATAACATTAACGACAGCACGACTGCATCATGACAGAAGAGGACAAATAAATATGTAAGCAAGTTAGTATGAACTAATTTAGCAGTTACTAATTAAAGACCAGAAAATATTTGCATTATTTAGATTTATTTAGTAAGCATAGTTATGAAAAGATGAAGTGCTCATTGATGCAATATTTTTAATATAAATGTGCTGAAAAATAATGGTCAAAAGCCGTTTTTCCTGCTTAAACAATTCTTTATTCACATTGTCATTTTCAGTTATACTAAAATTTTAACATTATTGTCATATTTATCGTGAAATATCTACTGGAAAATTAAGCAAAAATAAAATTTAAATATTTGTTCAAAATGATAAAACAGTGTTTTTTTTTTTTATTCTTCCTTTTAAAATTATTCACCACGTAACAAAGAGCTCTCTTGAGAATTTCTACAAGTTTTTTTTTTTTTTTTTTTTTGATAAAGTAAAGTCAAAAGATAAGAATCAGTTATATTTTAGTATTCTTACGAACCTTTAATTTAATTTGTTTTTGCAATGAAACAATATAGAAAATTGGTTGACTTTTTCATTAAAAATGGTTAATTATTTTTCAATAAATAAAAAACAAAAAAAATTTTTAAGAAATAAAACCGCACTGTTCGGTATCTGAACAAGTAATGAGCGATGATAAAGAAGATGATCGACGGCTACCGTCCTTTCCATCGCTTGAGAAGCCTAAAAATTAGTGATAATGATAGATGATGATTGTGCCTGTTATCAACAATTACGGCAATTATAATTGTTAATGTCAGAGATATAATATAAATTTAACATACATTAAATGAATTTTAATATTAATTTATCACACATATATACTTGATGCTTTCATGCGATCAATTTCTGATGACCAAGTGCAAATGGTCAGCAAATTTCACCTCTACCTTAGTGATCAGTTCGAATTATGCACTTTTCATTGCATTAGTGTTGACCGTTATTAAATTCGTTTCAAGCATTAAGAAGTCACGAACTGCATTGAATAACTCATGACGGGAGTTGACATATGAAATATTGAAGAGAGACAGAAACAGGTCTATGATCAATGAGCTATGTTTGGGTTACTCATGTTAGTTTAGAATTTAGGGAAGACGATAAAGTATTGATACTCCAATTTATTCCTCATAAAAAGGTTATATGATCCAAGCCAATATTCATAAATTATTACAGCCTTTGAGAAAATTTTACTCTAATTACAGCTGTGCCACCTGCTTCGAGCTATTTTGCAGAATGAATTTTTGATTGAGCACTAAAATAAAACTCTAACCAGCAATTTTCTTCGAAATGCATTTTCTACTGGAATTAATAGAGCAATGAAATTTTCACATGTTTTAAATAAAACCTAAGTTTGAAATAACCCCAAATATCAAAATAAAGATGTCAGAATGGAATTGATGTTTGCAGAAGTATTTAGGAAGGCTATTTTTTACTCATAGTTTGGGAGAATTTTCGTGAACAACTCCTTCCTTTTAGAATCTAACTAGAAAGACACTAATTATTCACTTACTGTATTTTGGTGGCAGGTAATGATCGAGCATTAATGATGATAAATTATCATCATCGTCATCTTCATCATCCGAATAAAAGGAAGGGAATGAATCGAACTCTGGATAACAGTCCAGTATTTCTTTTCCCGTTTCACTTTGAAAAAAACTTTCCGTGGATAGGCTTCTCTTGTCCTCTTTTTTATCCTCTTGTTTCTTACTAAAACAGTATTAATTATTAATTAATTTGAATATAATAAAATATCGTAAAAGGTAAATATTATAATTATGATCTTTAAAGTTGCTTTTAAAGCTTATCTTAGATTCATAATTAAGTTATTTGTATGTGCAAAGTATCTGTCATGCATATAAATAATGCATGCATACATTATGAATTCAAATATATATTATTTGTACTATTTTATGATTACATTCTTTCGATAATATCTACTACTCATTATATATGTGTAATGGACAAAAACACACTGTGCTTTTTAATTCTTTTATCAAAGCACTTACATTTCTGCAGAAATACGAAACATTGGAGAATTTCTCCCAGACCTTGGTGAAACATATGCAAATTGTTCAGTCACATAACCGTTAGATAACCTCAAATGTTGCAGTTTTTTTGTGAATTGCAGATTCCGCTCTTGTTGTTGTGACAAAGAGTTTTCTTCACTGATATTATTTTTTTCACCTTAAATTTTCTATTATTTGTCCAACATTTTATGATTTCGATAAAATTTCAAGCAAGAAGATATATACCATTTTCAATTAAACTGCAATCTCGATGCAATTTCATCGCATATCTGAATTCATCTTTTTCAATGATACATTCTGTTGCTTCACAACTACTACTTTGCAATGATTTTGTTGGAGTGCTGCTAGTTACATTCTCATTGGATCGATTCTGAAATTCTCTCACTATGATAACAAATGCTGTAACAGTGAAAAATGAAATACAAATTGTGCAAATGAATACTCATAGACATAAAAGTTATTTTTAAATACGAAGCTTACGAGAAGCATTGAATAATTCTTTAAAGTAAAAAGATATGAAATGACTCGACATGAGTGCATTGGTAAATGTGTCGTCAACTGGAACTGTCTCATAAAAAATCTCTTATCAATTACAGATAAATAAACGAATCACTACATAAATTAGTGAGCCGCTGATATGATATCAAACTAATGTAATTATAGACCTTGTCAGTAAGAAATGAATTCTCGAAAACAGGCATTTCACTATTTTCATCTTCCTCGCTATCCACGTCATCTATTAGTACAAATTCTTGACGATTTGAAGCTGTTCGATGACAAATTTCATGACAAATTAGTAGATGTAATCCAAGTTGAGGACAAGATGCTATAATAATCCGGGATTAAACGGTTATTTTTGTGTAAACAAATGGTTGAAGAAGAAAACTGAAGAAAAAAAAAAATTTTAACGAATTACTGGAATATACCAAATATCTTAGAACGTTCAATAAATCTATTATTTGATTTATTTTAGAGGTAAATGACTGGAATTATTAATTTACTGTTTTACCTGTTACTAAATAATATGTAGTGTAATGAAAAGTAAAATCGGCATTGAAATTTGAACTCTATCATTCGTAGATAACTGCTGTACCAGAATAAATGCAAAGTGAAAATTTAAACTCCTCAAATTAACATATCTCAGATTACAATATACAGATCAAAAAACAATGGCAAAACTTGAGCGTACTTGAAAATTTCAAGGAAAGCAGATCCGTTTTCAAGTGCGATCATTTTTCTGAAATCTCAGAAATTTTTGCAGGTGGTTTTTTAATAAAACTTACAGCTTCTTATTAAATTTGGACACTTGTGTTGATCTCCTACTCCTATTCTTGCTTCGGAATGAATTCCCGACGACTGTTCAATTACAGCCACAGTTTCCTGCCGCTCACTACAACGTACACCTAAATATGCTAAATGGAAAGCAAATTTATATCGCATATTATTTAATTAGCTAATAATATATTGAAATGATAACAGTGGACAACTTGTTTATTACAATCAAAACGAACCAGTCCTATCATCCTGAGATTCCTCATCGGTAACAATTCGTCCTTGACTTTCATGACCGCTATCATTTGTTGACAGTGACTTGCCATGTCGAGTTTCTATAATACAATATAGGAATAAAAAAATATACAAATGATAGTTTTAGCGAAAACACACTAAATAGTAAACAAATATGGACGATTAGTGAAATTTCTGACCAATTAATTTCAAATGAAACATTGACTGATATGTGATTGTATCAGATACTTTCCAGAGTGTTACCTTTTGCACTTAAATCAATGGAAGAATAAATAGGATGATCATTTTCATTGCTCTGACAATACTTTGTACATCCATTACTGGAAATTTGTTCGTCACAAGTTTGACTTCGTTTAGACGAACGCTTCCCAAAAAATGCAAATGTCCTTCAAAAGCAGAAATGGGAATTATGCAAATTGTTGTAGAACAAGGAGCTCAAAAACAATTTCCTATAATTGAATTATGAACAGAGTTATACTTATTCTTTAATTTGATGATAGAAGAACTTCTTCTTGAGTCCTTTGCTTCTAAAGATGGAAATGGTGACGAGTAACTTGACCGATGACCTCGTGCTGCTTCACTGCCTAAATTTCTTCATAAGAGGATGTTACGTCAGTGCATTTTCAAATAGTTTAAATTTTGGATCTTAAATTGCATGGCAACGTTTAAGACATTACATTATCAATTACTCATTAACTGTTTGACCACAATGCATCGATTTCCACTAAGTGTTAATATTCGACTTAAGGAATAAAGCTACTCATTAGCAAGAGAAATGAAACAAACCTCGATCAGACTGTTGACTGTGACATTCAACCCCGCTATCTGCCAGAAGCCTATTCTGATATCTTAAAGTTTGCAGTAGCGACATTCGTCGACGGCGGTACAGGTATGGATTAGAAGAAGCAACCAGCGTTGGATCAAGATCACTGCATATATCAGCTATAAAAGAAGCATTTTCTTCTTTCAAAATCAAATTAAAATTTATCGAATTCTTCGACTCTTGAAGCCGAACTACGAATTTTCTATTTCAATCACCAGTTTAAAAATCACTTATTTGTTTACTTTTACTTACGACTTTGCTAATTCATCTAGACATACAATCATGGAGAAAATTCATACAACAAAAAGGTCATAAAAGTTACCATTTGAGCTATCTCGTCCGACGGAACTTAATCTCTGTTTGATAGGTACATGCTGAATTACTGGTAAGCAGAACGGTTCTGAAATTAAGAATATAAAAAATATTTCAGTCCAATAAAAAAAATAAAAAGTCAAATTTTTGAATTAATTTCGTGTTTTAATAGCTGAGGATGAAAAGTAATGAATTGGAAATTAGAGTTACTATCCAAAAACAAATGAACAGAAATAGTCTTATAAAATTGGCCTAAGAATGAAATAATTTACAAATGTCATACAGATTTAATCTCAATTCTTCTGTCACCATTAACCTAAACTAAGTCTTACCGAAAAGTGATCTGCGTGGTGACTGAGAATGATAAGCTTTTTGCCCCTCTGAAAGAGGCATTAAACTGTGTCGTCGCTGATGTGAGCTTTTGTTGTTTCTATCGACCATCAGTCGATACAGTATATAACCATTTATTATATTCGTCATCACTTTTCCACCTATTGTTTCATTCACCCTACAGTATTCTTTAACTATTAAAATACCAAAATTTAAATGTCAGCAAAAATCGATACGTTAGTAGTACAGGTATTAATTGATAAGATTGAAATTATTTCACTTAATTCTACGTTATAAACCAATTTTAAAACTTTCTTTTGATATTTTGTACAGTATAACTAATAAATAAAATGCTGACTTCAAATTCACAATGTATCAAATTTACTGATCGTTTTGTCATTTTAAAAAATCTATGTGAAATTTAAAAAATAATAGCAAAAACGAAAATTAATCCACTTATTTTGGATGAAGAAATAACCATTGAACAGGTAAAAGCAAGGTGATGAGTAAGTTTTAGTACGAAATTTCTTTCTGTAAACCAATTTTTATCATCATTTCTTTTTATCTTATCTTGTTGGATTGTCCGAAAACAATTAACTTTCATTTTCTCCAAATAGTAACCATTGAGGTTAAGTATAGTATATTAAATGAAGTTTTTAAATTCCAGTTGAAAGGAAAAATAAGTAATGAAAGATAAGATTAATTTAAAAAAGTAAGCAGCTGATGTATTTTGCCTCAACTAAGTAAGTACCTGTCATCCAGTGATGCCCCACGGAAGTAAAATAATGCTTTGGATGGAAAGCAAATCTCAAGATGATTTAATAAAACATACGAGCAGATGGTTTTTACTCACGCAGCATTTCTTCAAGTTTTTTATTGAAATGCAAATGTACTTCCGTTTACTCCGTGGATACTTCTACACAAGTGGTCGCGAATTTTTCCCATTTCTTTTCTTATTTTTGAATTAGTTTTATATTAATTTTAAGTTTTATTCATTGATTTCTGTTGTAAAAAAACTTTGTGTTTTTTTATCAAACGAATGATTGGAATTTATTTTAAAGTCAGATAGTTCGAATGTACACTGGAAATGTCCACTAGAAAATGAAAAACTACATAAATAATGGTAAAGATAAATCGATCCTTTGTTTATTAATATTTCCTCTTCTTGAAAATTGAATTCATAAAATTTTACGGTTTTAACGATTGCACTTTTCAGGATTCCGTTTATCAAGGAATGGAGAAAATTCATGATAGAGAATCTGAAATATGGACTGTCTTCCATACTGAAAAGGTTTCCTTTGTTAACCCAGTCTTTAATAAAGTATTCATTCAATAAAACATTTATTATAATGGTTTTGTTAAGATGATTTCTTTGTGACTGTACAAAAAGACAACTAAAATGTGCTTAGACAAATGAATCACAGTAAAAAATTTAAAAAAGCTTTTCAAAGACCTTGAAATAAATAACAAATGTAAATTAAAATTTGGCAGTTAAATAGTTAAGCTGAATAAAGTCTTTTCTTGTTTGAGCACTTCCAACATTTATTACTAATTTTTAAAAATTGAAACTGAGCATCAAGAAATTTCTGGTCATTCAGTGCAAAGGATTTTCCGACGCAATTTACTTGTACTATGAAATATGTTGCAGTGTGCTTTAAAGTAGCAAAGTAGCCTTCCTAATACATTTCTGAACTTGTATGAATCATATTAAGATAACAATTCATTATAATATCTAAAAAGAACAAAATTAAAAGGCCACTTTTAGGCAAAAAATTAGCTAAAAAGCTACGACAATCTAAAATAAAAATAAACGAAAATATAAAAGAAGGAAATTTAAATAATCGAATATAAGATAGAAATGTTTAAAATGCATAAAGTACAACTTTTTAAATCATATTTTACTTCCTGTTAAAAACCGAATGAAACCTTTGGGGAAATGCGGAATGAAATCTTCCGGGAAAATATGGGATTAATCTCAGCTAAGTAGTCTTCCTGTACTAACATGCAAATAAATTAACTTTACATTTGCTTGTGGTGTAAACTGATGAAATCGAAATTTCTACAAAACGAAATAACATGCAATGTAATATTAGAAATGATTGAATCTAAGTAAGTAATAAATTGGATTTGAACAGAACAAATTCGTTGATTAAAGAAGTAAACAATAAATTCCTATTTTAGGGAATAAATATAACCGATGTTCAAGTGGTTATAAAAGTTTCTAATTTCCGGAAAATATTTTGAATAGAACAAGAATTGATTCGTTCTAAAATATTTCAAGAATTACTATGACCAATTAATATTTGAATGTTGCATTTCCATTTAGCATAAAATGATGGGTCCGAAACTGACTGAGTAACGCTTTCATTATTGCAACAATTCGCTACTCTTCCGTCCAGCAAAGTAATTCATATTAGCTAATGACAGATCCATAAATAACTTCCAGGATAGATTCGCAAAGCTTTATATGAAGCTATGGAAATACCGTAATATTACCGAAAATAGAAAGTGGTATATTAGCTATGAAATAAGAATGCTAAATTTGAAATGAATATAACTCATAGAGCGAAAAAATTTTTGGAATTGAGAAATGTGATGCATCAATTAGACGGAGCAGAAATGAGGAACGATAAAAGAAACCTCAAATAAATGGTTAGTCACACTATGATGCACTGAAATTGAAATTTAATATTGATATGTGCTTACTCGAGTAATCAAAAAGTTACTAAATTGAATTGATTAAACAAGACAGCATTGTGTTTTCTTGCAAAAAACATTCATTTTTTGTTGTTTAAATGCGTGCAACAAAAATATAATTTCATTTCTGTTAAGCAAACATAATTTAAAATGACTTCATTTCCATTTCCAGTTTGCATGAAAATTTTTTAATTCAAAGAATTAAAAAATAAATGGCATTCCTTTTTTTCTTCTTGAGAAAATAGCAAGGTTGGTAAGCTTTTTTCCCTTCTTTCCTCTCGATAAAATTGCTCACATTCAAAATATTATATTACAAAGTGAATTCATATTGAAATATTTTACAATATGAGTTAGATGCTAAAGCATTGGACCATCTTAATTTTGTAAGCCATTAAAAAGATGTCGCAAAATGTTAACTTTATTCCATCAAATTTTTAAAATAAACTTGATAAATAGCTTAAATAATTGACAAATAAAAAAAAGCCATTCCAGTTCATTCAACAAAGAATTTTTCATGCAAATTAACTTTTTAGTTTCGTTATTGAGTTTTCCTTTTTTGTTATCAATAAAAAAACATTTTAATGTTCCGAATAGCTTAGAAGCAATTGATATTTCAACTAATTTCATTAATTATTACCTTTCTTAACTGACAAACAAAGGAAATCCCAAAAGTGCAGAAGGAATAGGAGAGCTATCTTGGATGAACATGTGACAAACATCACTAAAACAAACTATGTATCTGGTAATGTTAAACCTCAGTAGTTAAAATTAATTAATATGGAAGAAATGAAATCTAATTTCCTTAAAACTGTTTTTTTTTTTTCACTCTATACTTGTCTTTCATCTCATTAATACTCCAACTGCATATATATATATATAACTTTTAGGAAAATGGTAGCTTTCACCTACTCATTACACTCAATAATTCATTGATTTAAAAAACTATTGGCTCTCTGTTAAGCCAAATTATTCCATATTTAGATGTATAACACATTTTTCTTCAAGTCATATTTTCCAGGAAATTAAATCTTGCAATGACATACCAAAAACTAGGAAAGCTCATTACCATTAAAATTCCCCCAACATTCACTTTGATGCTGCAAATATTGTGATTGCATATCGAAACTATCCGATCTCTATTTGCTACTTTAATGAATTACTAAATATGAAAGTAATAAAAAGGAAATATTTTGCAAAATTCTGAAAGTGACCAGCACAAATGTCCAATTAAAAGTTATTCTTTTTTCTGATAAAAGAGAAAAAATAATTTTGGCAGAGCAAATAATGAGTTATTTTATAAAAAATCTTTTGAAGAAATTAAAAAATATTGAAAGCAAAATAAAAGTGACTATAAAGTACGCATATATATTACATAACTGAATATTGGCGTCATTGCAGCATTTACTAATGAGAAAGTACAGCGAGCAATTTAAAATACCTTTTATTACACATAAAAGAGGCTGTCTATAACAACTTCTTCATTAAAATGAATTTATCAAATTAGTAATCAAATAGAGAGTCTTACTGAATACGGATGGGATAATATCCCTGATACTAAATTATAAATTTAAACATTTAAATATTAACGAATTCAATCCTTTATTAGTAAATGTTATTTGAAAAGGATGGGAAGAATCAAGGATAGTTCTGTAAGTTTGAATTAGTTTCTATACTTTTACTGATACCACTTATCCTTCATTTTCATTGAAAATCATTTGTTACAATATATCGTATTCTTTCCTTATCTATACTACTAACAATGAACAGTATTACTTTCTTATGTTTCAGAATAGTAAAAACTTTTTCGTTCTGCTTGAAACATTGCTAATAATAGGCCACAACAGGTCACCTTACTAATTGAATAGTCCTGCTGGAATCTAATTTTTATAAGCATATCAGAATTGTTTCAGAGATTTGAAAAACTACAGCGACAATTCCTTCTATTCTATTTGTTGCTGAATGAAATGATAAATTATAATTGAGAGAAACTATCAAGAAAGAAACTGTCACATTTCAATTTATTTTTGTCATATTGTCCACACATCTCTCACAAGTTAGTATCAGATTACAAAAAGATATTTCCAGTTTGCTAATTCTCTCCTAAATGAGTGTAACAGAAGTAAAATGATTGTAATAAAGTTAGCGATAAATGAACTAACTCCTCCATCACTCTTTGGTAAACACTAAAATCACTAAGATTAGAATTCAAATAACATTGATTAAAGTGACCGAGAATTTTACTGAATTCATCATTTCACATTAAAGGATGGCATCTTTTATCACATAGACTATTTGTCAAAACCCATTTTAAATCATCTGAAATTTCAGATTCTTCAAATGTAACGGAGATTATAGAAATAGGAAAGAAAGAAATTAAAATTGAAATATTTTGTTTTTTATCTGTCAAAGTAATTTCCTCCCAAAGATTTTCAACAAAAAGATAGAATAAAAAAGAATGACTTTTGCATACAGAGTAGATTATTTGATAAATTAAATAAAATCCAAAGGGAAAGGAAGGAATGTCAACCATATTAATGTTAAATGATAGTTCAAATTTTGCATGAGAATTTGATCAGTTCATTTGTTTTTCTCCTGTTAATATTTAAATTTGCGTATTTGCAACTTGAAAGATAGAAGACAGATATGAGAGAGGAAAATGAGTGTATGAGAAGACGAAGCAAAAATGTTGCTCATAATCGAAGTAAAGTGCCTGAAGGCTTGCCTGCACTTTAGGCCACATATCAAAGTAACAGTGTAGTTGCTTCCTTTTAACAATGAAATGCAATTTTCACATTGTTCAAGCAGACTGCTAAATTTAATGGACAACTCGTTTGATGCGACATTTGCTATTAGATATTCGGCTCTCTTCCGCCTTTCTTTGCCATAAATTGGCCCAATAAAGAAATATTCTTGGAAAGGTATTAAAAGTGCATATATGAATGCTTCAGAGATTTGAACTTCTCAAATTTTTTGCCATTTCATTCATTCATCTCTTCATTTCCATTCATTTCCTTCTGCTATTTCCATTCAGTACAAAATAAGGAAATGAATTTTCCAAGTAAATGCAAAATTCTAAAGAAGTTATTATCATCCATAGGAAAAATATGGAAAAACCAAATCTTAAAAATGCCCTCAAACAACTTCGGAAATTATTTAAATCATGTCGTATACTGTATTTTATAAATGAATATATGACGTTAGCAAGATTAAACTTTTTTTTGATAAATTATTTATAAGTTTTGACAATTTAGCTTCTAGCTTTTTTTACTGAAGCTTTTTTTTTTTGTTACTCGTGTCTTTTCTGTATTCAAAAACCTTAGATGAAGCAATTAGCAAAATAGCAATAAAAACAATTTATAAAAGATCGACAAATTTCGGTGAAATTAAACGTTTTTGACAGATTCATTCGAGGTAACGATGAAACAAATTTAGATTAGAACCATTTTTTAACTTAGTTTAAAATAAGGAAAAGAACTGAATAACATATTTGGAGGCATATTTTCTGGGAATATTACAGATTTAATTCCTAAGAAAATAATACTGAAAAGAATCTATTTGAAATAGACGACAAAATCTAAAAATTATTTTAATTGCCTTCCTCGAACCCTTTCACTTCTTTGTCTACTACTGTAATGAAATGAATTTCTCCCTAAACAAGAATGTCGAGTCTTTTTTTAAAGAAATAATTTGCATATCTAATTATGCTAAAGATTCAGTTTAGTTCCTCGATATAGCATTACTTTTTTATTTAAGTCGGATGACAGCTTTAAAAAGTATAATTTCTGCAAACGATTCATCAATAGAAGCTTAAATTTTGATTTGAATGTCAAAAACCAACTACAGGATTTAATTTTTATGTTATGAAAGATGAAGTTTGTCCCATTGCTTTGTCACTGTAATAAGCTTGCTTGCGATAATATCTCAAAAAAGAAGTTAAGTTGCAGTTTTATTCTCTTTTTTACGTCTTTCATAACATAACATAAAAAAATTGTAGTATTTGAAGTTTCTAGAAGTATATGAGATAAAAAGAACAATTAATATCAAAAAAGCATTAAAAGTAAAATTTGACTAAGTTTGTTTTAAGATCAGAGTGTAATTAAAATCTTCTTAAATACCAATAGGATATGATTACTTCAAATAGAAAAGAAGGATTAGTGTATTCTTGCTGAAACATAAGATAAACATTAAATTTTTTCAGTCGTAAAAGTAAAATCACAGAAGAATCTGTAACTGATTAATTCAAGATAGTAATCAAAGAGATAACAATAATTCTCAATCAAAAGACTTTGTTTTGAAATTTCACTGAACTTTGTAAGTATTCACTACAACGACATTTCTATAATTTTCTTTTTATAGATTTCTTTCTAAAAAATTGTGAAATGAGACTAACCACTTATAAGAATGCAGTAGGATTATGAAGATTACAATGAAACATACAAAAAAAAAAATACTAGTAAAATTGATAGGATACAAAATTATATATCGCAGCAAGAACTTCATGCTCCTCTTTCATAAATTGAAGAATCCATTTGTCCTTAATTAGCTAAACTCCTAATTACTTCTCTCACTGTCACAGCAAAGACGGTAAAATTCATTAAAATTTTCAGCGATAAAATCATATTAATGAAAATATGAGCCATTTTCGAAATTTCTTTAAAGCGAATTGCTAAATTAACTCTTTCTTTGTTGTTTATTTGATTAGTTCTGTAGAAAAATGTAATAATTTCATTTACTTATTTATTTAAAGTTACTAGTAGAACTGCAAAAGGTCAGCTAAGGTCATGTAGCACATTAATCCATAGGTTAGCGAATTAATGAGGTTAGGAAGCAGCTACTGAACTAATTGGTTTAAAAGTCAGCAAAGCTTTTAAGTGTACGATACAAGGTATTCTAAACCTTCTCTTATTTGCTTAGTAATTAATTCCTTTCAAAGACATCTTTGACATATGATATTCGGGTTATGTAATAATTTGAGTTAGATGACTGAAATAAAAGTGGAAGTGAAGACTTCTGACACAAAAAATTTTTGGTCGTTGTCAAGAATCGAAGGGAAAAATTTTAAGATTGTTTGTTCTTTGCCATTGTACGGACATAAATCAATTATAATACAAAATAAAACAAACCGAAGCGTCTACGTCGTGCGCTATTAGTCTTCCAGAATACAGCAGGTGCTGAGCCAAGTGAACTGGTCACCGTTGAGGTTGGTACCATTTGGTTAGGATGTGTACTGTGGAAATGGAAATAGTTGGTCATTTCCATATGACTTGAGCTTGGCTTAACGAAGAGAGGTTCGAGACGTTTATCACGTTTTGTCCACATTGTTTTGTTTGTTACGAACGGATCTACAAATGTTGTAAATCCGGCAAAACAGAACGCCAGCTTGACAATTGCTGCTTATTGAGTCGTCCAAAAAGCGACAATACTATGATCAGCAGTGATAGCAATAATAGTAATGTCTGAGACATGTATTGATGCCAAGTTTCGTTGATCGTTGAATTAATTTCCCAATTTTGATGTAATTTGTAACTTTTTGTTGGAAATTATTGCATTGATGCGAGAAAGAGCTAAAATATTTGAGAGAAATTTAGCATATATACATATCAAAGTCTAATAATTGATAGTAATCAGTGAACGAAGCACGCAAAATTGAGGAAAAATAATAGAACAGCAAAATTTGAATGAAATGCGCTTAAAATATGATACTTTAAAAGAGTTAAGGTAATAATATTCTCTTTTCATGCTTTTCTATTGAAATTTTTATGAAAGATAGAAAATTGCACAACTTGAATGCATGCTTATTGCTTTAGTGCAATTTCCAAAAGAAAATTAAAGTAGAAATTGAATTCAAATCAGAATGAAGCATTTGAATAAAACTATTGTGCGAATACACATATACAACCTATTTAGCAGCAATTATTTAACTAAAAAGAGATGAGTAAAGAATAAATGTTCGGATGGATAGTTGAAATAGAAGTGTTTCCGAAGGCAGAATATATTTCTGTTCAAGAAGAGAAATACAGCAATTTTACAGAAAGCACTTGTTGACTGAATTCTCTATTTCAATGTTATTTTTATAAAAAGAAAATTGCTAGCCAAATGTTTAAGAATTATAAGATTTATTGCCTTGTAAAGTTTGGTTAGAATAGACAACATTTATTTGAAAGACGTAAAAATAACTGCAGCAAATTAGAAATAAATTAAAAATGTAAAATTTAAAGAGAAAAATATTTACAAAGTAAAATGCTAGACCAAAGCTCAAATTAGCAGTATTATTTAAAACAATCATAATTGGTGATATTGTTTCTTGACAGAATGAATCTTTTTGCAACATCGGAAAGTCTCAAATATTAAACCAAGCGACAGGGATTCTCTAACACTACAAAACTAATTTGATCATATTGCCCCTATTAAAATGGGAGAAATAGAACTGGAAATAAGTAGAAAAAAGAGAAAGTTTGAATTTTGTTCAAAGTTTGAGAAATAAATGATCGGAAAATAGTTTAAATATTTGAAATAGTTTAGTTGTTTGATCTAATAACTTAAATTATGGTTTCTAGGGAACATAAAGTCGATATTATTATTAGCAGTAAGTACTCCATCATTAGTCATATAAAACATTGTCACACCTTTACACAAACAATAAAAATACCAATCATTTTTCATTTTCAAAATTATATTGGTAGCTAATAGCAATAAACTGTCAACATTTATAAGTTTATCAAGTATAAGCTAATAACTAGCAATAAAAATCGATTAAAAGTCGATATTTTCTTCTAAAAGGAAAGCATTGTCCCACGTGGTGAGAAATTTGATAAGTTTCTAAGAAAAGCAAGCATAAATGACATCTAATCATAATAGCGATTAAAGAATATTAAAAATATGGCAGGATATATTTTCAAAATTTGCAGAAAACGCAAAACATATTATTACACATTAGGCGGCTTAAATCAAGTATCGCAAAGCATTAAAGGTACAACTAGCAACGAATTAATCAAGCGATAAATTAATTGAAACATTTAGTCGACGGAATAATCAACATAACATTTAATAATGTAAAGAAACTTTTTAACTGCATTAATTAGGTCTGTGAGATATGGTAAAGAAGACCAACCCTTCCACTTATAAAACTTAAACAAAAAGTTCAATCATAATTTGACTTATAAAGACCACAATTGCTGTGATCATCTTCTTAGATTCTTATCTATTGATCATTTTCCATCTCGCAAAAGCTGCTTAGCTGTATATGACAACGATTTTTTGCAGATGCAGATGACACATGTTATTTGATGTCCTAAAATGTCACTCACAGTCAGTTTTCTTTTCAAGTATTGATATCTAAAATATCCGAATAATTTCTACTAATTTCTCTTATGATTCTTGATTTTTCGATGAATCTCGACATTGATCATCCATTGATCTTGCTGTCACTTAAAGTTTTTATCATTTTAGTGTTATCCAGTCGAGATAAGAAAAAATTGTCAAATAGCAAATTTACAAGATAATAATATATCATGGAAACTTTTCCTTACTTGTTTGTTTGTTTGAAGCGTTAAAGCAAAATCAACTTTGACCCTTGGAGTGGAATAATTCAATTAAGGTAATTTGGCATAAAGTGCATCCACTTTCATTTCTCTAAAAGCATTAGTCAACAACTTTTATTTTTCAATTTTTGATGTCTAAAAAGTCAAAATTCATGGTTCCATGAAAATACCGCACAAATTCTGCGAAAAAAAAAAATGATATTTTCTGTTTACTGATATTTTAACTCGACTTGGCTTAAACTGCACTTGTCTGGCTTAGTTTCTAGAGAAGAATTGGGCCAAAGAATTAGTTAGTGAGGGAATGATGCTGCTGCTATAGCTACTACTGCATTGGTGATAATAGTGCTGATAACATGGACAGTCTTTAGCTAATGCATAACTCATGCTGCAAACGATTGGAATGTGAAATGAGGACTTATTGCTTTAAGTTCTATTCTTCATGGAAATGAAAAAAGCGTATGACAAATTGCATTTAATTTTCTCGACTAATATGCAAATTTATGGGATTTTTCACTATATGAATTCAAATGAAAAAATAACTGAATATAAATATATATAAGTTACTATTACTTACAATTACTTAAAATGAATCAACATACGCAGAAAGCTTCCAAATAAATTGAATATTAATGTGAACAGTGTACTATTTATGTTAAAAATATAAGATAAACAAAATATAAAACTACGCCAATTTCTACGAATTCAAACTGTTCCCTTCTGAGCTGTGGCTAGAACATCGGTATCAGATTTTATAACTCGATTACCTAAAATAAGTAATGGAAGCAGAAAGCCCAATTTCTTCGGAATTTCAATCTGCTCGATTTTATTGTAAAAAAATGATAGCTCCTTTCATGAAATCTGATACCTTAAAGTATTGTTTACCACTGAGAATAATCGTAAACTTTAAGACGGAAAAAATCTTTGATGAAAATATCATCGATCCCATCGAACATACTCAAAACTTTTCTGAAAACACACTTTTATCACAATTTCGTAGTTTTAAATATGTCAATTAATGAGAAAGGAATAATTTCTGAATGACTTACATTGTTGAAATGTTCATAAAAATTATTAAGAGCAAGTCAATCTGTTTAGTAAATTCGGAGTGTCAGTGAATACTTATTTTTGTGACAATAATTCATCAGTAATACGTTATTTCTATTTCTTGAATACATCATTAATACTAATTATTTTTTAGATTTGGTAAGTAATAAACAGAAATGAAAAGAATAATCAACGAAAGTTCGATGTTATTCATAAAATAAAACGAGAAAGAAAGAGAAAGGAAAAAGGATAAAATGGGAAAAGTAGAGGAATTAAACAGGAAAACTTTTATTGAAATATAATTGTTGTGTTGTTGTTGTTATCTAGAAGAGAATCTCTTGTTATAGAAAACTTTTGCTTAGTGTAAAAATAAGAACTGAGAGTTTACCGAAACATAATTCCAGTTATCATCTTCCCCAAAAGCTTCTTCTCAGATAAGTGAAAAAAAACTCTAAGTTTGATTTGTTTATGTAGAATTGGTCAGCTTATTGATGAAACTATTTTTCAAGTAGCTAAAGCAATTTTTAAAGATTTTTTTTTTAATTTCAAGAAGAGAATTAGAACAAAAATAGATATATTAATGCATGTGGAAGTTTGCGCATATTTTTCGCTCATTGAATACTCACAAGACATAAAATATTCTGAAATAAAAAAAAAGTGAAACAGTTGTGGTAAGAAGAAGAGTAGAGGATAGCTGAAGGAGATCAAGGAAACAAAATTTTCAAATCAAAATAAATTATGGCTTATTTTGTCATCAAGAATTATGTAGTAATTCAGGATGTTGATGAGTTCCTTTGATTTGAAAAATGGCTCATTCGGTTGTCTGATATTGTCAAAAAGGATCATTGTTAATAGGTTACCCATAAACACCTGAGAATTCGAAAAGAGAAAGAAAAATAACTAGCAAAATGAGAATGCAAAAAAAAAAAATGAAAGTGAAATTTTTGTTCTTTTTGACGGATACGGGGCAAATATCTTCTGAGTACATGATTTGAATGTAACAAAAAATGCTAAATTAAATCATACGTCATCTGATGATATCTTAAAATAGTGTAGCAAACAAGCAAAAGAACGAATTTCGGAAGTAGTTGTAATGTAGGATTCCGATGATTACCGGACCGGAAGTTTAAAGATAAGTCTGAGGTCAGATACGATTGACGATGTTTACTGCCAAAGTTAGCAGACAGATTGAAGCGATGGCAAAAATTGGTGCAATGCAGCTGTCGAATAGGCTACATTTTAGCCTAAACAAAATTAATGGACAGTCGATGGACCACTTTGGGTACTACATCTCTTTCCCTGTTACCTACTATCAGTGATATATACTTTATCAAGCAATAATGATACCAACTTGAAATACCTTTGATCCTAATGAGGGGTCATATACGCTTAACTGTTACTGAATTATTAAATTAGGTTATGATAAGGATATGAGTCAATGCCAAGAATTAAGAGTTATGTCCAAGCTAATAGTTTACAAACACAAATGATGACGTAAGGTTGTATATGTGAATTAAATTTATTAGCTAACAGATATACTGCACTAATGAATGCATACTTGTAGGTTAAACCAAGATTGAGCAACAAAAAGCCAAGAAATCGGACAATTTAGCTGTTATTATATGTCATAGAAAATAAATGGAAATACCATCACAATGGTACAATGTTTGTGTAAATTTAACAGAAAAGTGAAAAATCAGTGCAGTAATGATTGTAATTTGCTTGCACGAAGAT